CTGTTAATCTTGACATCTGAAGAGCTGGAAACACAGAATACTTGGAAACCAGGAAATGACCTGTTTGTTGTTGTAGCTCTTCCTGTGACATCATATAGGTTCAACGGTAAATGTGATTTTTGTATCTTTTTTACTTTTACAACAATCACATGAACAAATCCTTCATAGAAAAAGGACACAGCCTAAAAAAAACTCACTAAACAATGTTGTTGTCACTCTATTTGTGAGGTAGGATTGTTCATTAATAAATGATATTAGAAATCAAATTTTACCACACTTATATAGAGACAATTTCACAATTCAGTTAAGTAACTAATGAGTCATTATTAGTGAATTTGCAGATCATATTCTCAGTTATTTAGTGGATAAAATGTCATAATTTCACAAATCCCAAGTTGGAGTCTTCAGATTCCTTGTTTTGTCCAACTAACAAAAAATTTAAATCCATAAATACTGATGATACGATCAGTCAATTAAATGATTAGTCAGTCGGTCAACAAATTCATCAGCAACAGTTTATATAATCTATATGACTGTTTCAGTCATTTGTCATGCAAAAGTACCAAACTCACTGGTTCCAGCTTCTTTATAGTGAAGATTTGCTGCTTCTATATCATTTACTGTAATTATCTTTGAGTGTTGGACATAAGATGTGATGACGTCACTGGGCTCTGAGAAACTACAATAGGTAGTTTTCACTAAAGACTAAACAAAAAAATGATTTATAGATTAATTGTTAATGAAAATAATTAATTGTAGCCCAAAGATTTTGAGTGTAATATCAAAGAAGAGCAGCTCACTCTACATCCCTGACATCATCACGTAGTAAACCAGCTGCAGCAGCCAGGGATTGGACAATAGGTGCATCGTTTGCCCAAAACCTGCAGAACCCCAAACCTCATTGATGACAATCCTCCAGCTTCAAAGCACAAACAGGGAAGCAGACGTTGTGTTTACTCATTCATCACAGTGGTCTGAAACACTTTTCTTCCCTGGTGTCCACAGGGTCTAACCAGGCTGACATTGGCTCACGACCTCTCGAGAGATGACCTTGCTAAATAGTTGGCATTCCTCTGGGGAAGGAAGGTGGGGTGGCTGGAATGATTTCCGCCAAAGGTCAAATGTGGAAATGATTAAATGCATTGTTGCTGATGTCGGGTAAGTCTCTCTTGCTTTTCTCTCTTTCTCTGTCTGGCTGAAATGAGCACACAATGTACTCTATCTCCCCGCTGACAGTTTTCAAATGTTAATGGCTGGCTCACGGTGCGAAGGCACAGCGGGGGACACGGTGTGAGGGACCGTTATTCATTCTCGATGGGGGAGAAACTCTTCACAGTCACTGTAAGTCTTGCACAGGAGCAAAACTGGGGCAAAGAGATGGAAAATCTGTACTTAAATGTACAGAAAACAAACTTGACATCAGAGCATTATGATACTATGAACTTTTAGCAGGCAGTGGAATAATAAATGCTCTGTGTTGAAAGCAGTCTAATAAAGGTTTAAGACAGAGAGGCAGTGTTTGGAAAAAGTCACATGGAAAAGACATTTTGTTGCTCAAATGTAAAACTTGCAAAGGTTTCTCAGAAGGTTGATTGCAACTGAGCAGAAGAGAGCAGATGAGATTTCCTCTGAACATCTTTGTTCTTTTTTTCAGGAGAAAACAAACATCTCTTTCTACACAATACCCCACCACCACCACCACCACCACACATGCACAGAAGGGAAAAGGATCCTGGTGTGCCCCACTGCCAGACTCATTACTGATGTAAAGGGGCACACTGAAACAATCATGTGCACCTTCTGAACAACATTCCCATGCACAATCGCTTGGATTGCTCTCATTCTCACGGGGCGCTCCTCAACCTCCCAAACCCACCCCCCAACCAGCTCTATTTGCCCTCTCATTCCCCCCACAACTTCCTTTCTCTTTCATTTTCTCCAGCCCCTTTCAGCATCACAGAGTTTCCTCTCCCCTCGCATAACAATGTCTGCTCCAGTTTCCTCCAGCTCCCTTTGCTTTTACACAAATGCCTGGAACTTGAATCTTTAAAAAAAACTGAAGAAACACATTGGCCAGAGGACGGGTTCACCTAATCACTGTATCTGTGAAGGTATTTCTGCAGCAGTAATGTTAACTATGAAGTAATGGGTTAAAGGCTGTGGAAGTCTCAGCTGGGTGAAAATTTACATGAGATCTTTTTTTTTTTTTAGTTATTCTTCACACAAAAAGCTGTGTCAGTAACACTTTGGCATTCTGAGAAGGACATAAATCAGCTGATGTTAGCTTACAGCAGATACAGTATATTGGTACAGTATTTGTGTATATATCACCTGAGAACAACAGGATACTTACAGTTTGTTGGGCTAATGTGCTTGTTCACTTTCTTGCAGAGAATTAATTTCTGGCTAATTTCCCACAATGTTTTTTTGTTTAAACGTCTTTCCTTATATGTACATCTTCTCCACAGAAACCTGGGCCTGTGTAATGCTGTAAGAGATCTGTTTATGTGCGGACCTATTAGGAGGATTATATGCATTAGATGACCTATAGAAGACAGACCTTCCCTTCACACCTGAACACCTGCTGGAAACCATCCCTGATGTCAGGGAGGAGTGGGGCAGCACCTCACCCTCACCTCGGGATATGACGTGGCGCCGACCACCGGTCCGACCTCATTAAGCTTGAAACATTATCACTCTGCAAGGAAAGGAGCTCTTAAAATAATTCAAGAGCAAATGCTGAGGACATAGTAAACTTTGACACTATTTTACAGCTTTGAACAAGGCTGACCTGCAGGAAACTCGATAAACACAGGAGTGACGCAAAATGTGTCATATAACTGAGATGAGGCGTCTTCGGTTGCCTGATTGTTTCTCTTGTTGCCCCACTTTTCTATAGCAGTGTTGCATAATGTTGATATGTTTATCAAAAGCCAAGAGCACAGGCTGCAGGGTTTCTATGCTCCCTCTATCTAGAATGTGAACAGGATAAAGACAAACAAAGACGTGTAGACGTACTGTCACGTCAGAGAACATTCATACTGCACAGAGCTCCCCCCTGCAGAGAGATAACTGCCTGGAAACACTGGTGTTGATCGAATCTATTAACATCCACTGATCAATCATCTTGTTTAACATGAAAACAGTAAATGCGGAGCTCTAGTCTAAGTGGCCTCCTTCCCTAAAATCCTTGCCGAGCTCACTGCCTTCGTGTCCAAACCATCACCATCACTCTCAACTGTTCCAGCCCTGTGAACCGTGCACTGAACAGGACAATGAGTCTGTTAGGACTGTGACGCAGATACACAGTGTGCGCACCCTTCAGTCACAACCAAACCCTCCTGAAGAATGGCACCAGGCCCCACAGGCCCTGAAGACAAGAGACACAGCTTACAGCTTGAGCTGTGTCAAATTGACACCAAAACACTTTGCACAGTGTTGCATTAGAGGGAGTACAGTTTTTGTTTCCATATGGTAAGGTACACTTGAGCCTGACAAGCTTGAAGATTTTGATGAATGAAATAAGGCAGGGAAATGACATGGCACCAACTCTAGTCTGTGTTAGAACAGTGTTAAAAGTATTGACAAGGAGTTGAAAGCTCATGATAGAAAAATGGACTGAAGTTAAGGACCATGGATTCAAATCATATCAACTTTCCAAAGGAGTCAGTCCAGAGCTTTCAGCTCCTCTGATGAAGCATCTACCAAGCTGTCCATCACACCATAAACCTCACTGAATAATAATAAGTTCCTGTTTGGCTACATGTGAACAGAGGGCTTAGACTGAGAGGACATGATTCATTGCATGTGAAAGTTATAAGTCACGGCAGTATACCATGAGATTATATGAACTTGGCAACTGTCAGAGATGTATCTACACCCTTTACAGTGAGGCATTGATCTTAGTGACATCTCTAGTTGTATGAAAAGATGTTAGTTCAATTAAATTAACATCCTTGATCTTTCAGGTCAAGGCTTACTATAAGATTAAAGATCTTATGAGACTACAATCCAAAGATATTTTACTGCCACACAAGACAAGGAAAAGCAACAAAAAATACTTAAAACAATGATAAGATTATAAAAAGAGTTGTTGATTAATTTTTGTACAGTCATTCCAGCTCAATCTCAGCTAACCAGTACAAAATGTGACAGTATTTACCACTCATGCAGTAACTATTTCTTTAATATCTCAGGTTGAATGTTGTGCAGTATACGTCAATGATAAATAGTGTTCCATCAGAATTAGAAGAAAATGTAACACATCTAATGTATAATAATATAGCAACACAACATTTGAAATCTCTCGATATATAAGATTTTACCCATGTTACCTACCCTTCAGTTACATAAATAAATGGTAGAGCGATTAGTTGATTAATCAGTGGAAATAAAATTAACCAGCAACCATCTTCTTTAAGTTCTCAGATATGTCAATTTGCTACTTTCCTTAGTTAGTGTCAGATTAAATGATAATAAAAATAATCATCAAATCAAAGCCAAAGCCCCACAGAGTAGTCAAAAAACAAAAATTAACATTTATTTTTCCATTCCTATTCCAACTTTTATAAGGGGGGTGCGGGTACTCAGGGGCAGGGAGTTAGCTGAATTTGTACTCTGATTACGCCCCTGTCGTGGCAATAAAAGCAGCCTACAGATAAAAGAAGATAGGTACAGACTCAAGTAGCTTCAGCTCACACTCACACTGTCTGACACACATATAATAAAAGAAATATCTCGCAACAACAGTGACAGCATCTAGTTTCCTTTTTGTGACCACTTTTTTACATAATCCGGATATATTCTTTTAAATAAGTTACAATTACTTTCTTTCATTTTACCTCCACAGGGAAATAATCTGCACAGACACAGGGAAAGGGTTTCAAAATTATACCACCCATGCCTACTGCTCTGACAAAAACATGTTTGTAATTTTTCCAGTCAATGTTATAACACAAGTAATAAAACCCAGCGTGTCCAACCTGTGCTGTGTCACTTACTTTGTATTTCATCGTGCAGCTCTTCTCTCTATCTCTGTGACTCCAGTATAAATGAGAAATATCCGCTTTATCGCATTAAGGAGCGACACACCTGAATTAACGGGACACCGGGGTGGTTTTTTTGAGCGGTTAACCAACCATCCAGAGCCTCATAGACGGAGAAACGAGTGAAACCTCTGAATCCAGCCTGCAGCTTTCCACTCTTCTACACCAGACCGCTCCAAGCCGCAGTCACGGTCCGTAGCTCATTTGCATAAAGAACCGCTGATTGGCCGAGGAAAATACTGCCCCGCCCACTGTATTTACCCCGCCCCTCCCGTTGAGAAAGTGACATCATTGTCACAATACACCAGTAGATGAAGTCATGTCTTCCAGTAAAATAAAATAAAATTAAAAAAAAAAAATCTGTACCAAGAGCTATCTCCACAGTTAATGAAGTGTCATTTAGGTTATCAAAATATCAGTGATGAAGGAAATACCTGACTCTTTTACCTATGTAAAAGTAGAATTAGAGTAGAAATGTATGATAAAATGTGTTAGCCCAAATTTATTAAAGTGCTTTTATTTTTGATTTCTGAGGCCACACTTTACCTATCACTGACATCAGACCTTAACCTATGTTTATATGTTTTCCCCTGTGAGAGCACCAGCGGTTTTAGGTTGTGCCAGCAGCTCTCTGCTTTTTTATTATTTTTCTTCATTTCAAAAAACATTTTGACTTTGTCAATATGAGTTATTGATTTGATAGGCAAAAATGACAGTTTTATCATTTTAAAATGAAATCTATATCACAGTAAAGCATGAAAGAATAGGCTGTTTTCTGAGAAAAAAACCCAGCATGAAGGACGTTTTTCTATGTGGCATTTTCTTCTACATAAAAATGTTTCTATTGGTTAAAATATAAATTACAGCACCCAGTAACAGCACTTCACCCCCTAATACTTTCTCCTGATCTTCTATGAATAAATAACTAAATTCAAGAGTTTTCTCAGAGGTGTAGCCTGCCCTGTCTTAAATTGCAGAGTTCAGGTAAAAGTAGAGATTGAATTTAAGGACACTAAGAATCCTGTTTTAAAAGTTGGTTCACAAAAGTTGTGTATTGAAACTGGGAAAATGATGAGAACTGCTGACTCTATCATCACAGGCAATAATGCAAGACAGGGGCCCGAAATTACAAAGGACCTGTGAATGTGAATAATAATAATAAAAAGTTAACTGGATTTTTCATAAAGGCTCAAAATGAAAGGCAGGTGCCAGTCCTGCCATTCTGGTAACTTTACTCTATAACTCTGGGGGTGCTAACGCTAATGTTAGCATGGTGCGTCCAGTGAATGACGAGCAGACGGCAAGCAGCTAACCGAAGAACCGCTACCAGGGCCGGGCACTGACAAACAATTGAACAATTGAAACAAGTGAGTTACATTAAATGAAGGAACACAGAGCCAGCACATGGAGATAATTCCGAATACGACAATGAAGGCCAGAGTTGATCTGGAGACCTGTCAAAACACAGACCTGTCCTCTCGGTAAGTTAACAATAAGTAACTGTAAGCATCTCTACTATTGGAGAGAGATGTTTGAGCTATTGGAAGGATGTCCTGAAGTGATGCTTGACCTACTGAGGCAGGGATAAGTCTGTTGCTTGTGGTGATGATGGAACAGGACTTGCAAACAGACCAAACCCTGGGGGCCAATAACAGGGTTGAATCACCGCA